AGGAGCCTGTGCATCCTCACAGTCGCAGGTGCTCAGTGGGTTACAGTGCCCTTCCCAGCGCTCCTGCCCTGCCCATCCTTATGAATGACTCATATGGAAGCAGTGAGCATATTTTATCGGGACACATTATTATTTTTCACAAACATGGGTTTCACTATTATTCCCATTTTACAGACACGGAAACTGAGGCATAGAGAGATTGAATAATGTGCTTCAGGTCAGACAGCTAATAAATAGATGTTTGGAATGGCTTTGAAATGTAGATAGTCTGGCTCAAGAGCCTGTATTCTGAATTATAGGTTACTAGTTTGTAGTGCTTTTCTTTTTTTATATATATTTTTATTGAGTTTTTACAGAGAGGGAAGGAGAGAGATAGAGAGTTAGAAACATCGATGAGAGAGAAACATCGACCAGCTGCCTCCTGCACACTCCCCACTGGGGATGTGCCTGCAACCAAGGTACATGCCCTTGACCGGAATTGAACCTGGGACCTTTCAGTCCGCAGGCCGACGCTCTATCCACTGAGCCAAACCGGTTTTGGCTGTAGTCCTTTTCTTAAAGGAGTTTTAATCATCCTATATAATAAACGGCTAATATGCAAATAACCCCATGGTGGGAAAACTGGAACAACCAAACAACTGGTCGCTTTGATGTGAGCTGACCACCAGGGGGCGTGCCCAGAACATGCCAGGCATTGGTCACGGCGGTGCAGCAGGTGACCAGGTGCACCAGACTAAGGCAGGGCACTGGTAGTTGTCATCAGGATGAGCCTCTGGTGGTTACTAGAAATTCTCTACTCCCGCATACCACCGTCCCACCCGGCGCTTGCACCTGCTGCTGTCACCAGCCTTGTTGGCACCTGCTGCTGGCACCAAAGCCACTGCTCACACTCACTGCCGGCGCCTGGTGCCAGCCACTATCCCTTGGTGCTGTCAGCGAGTGCCAGCAGCAGCCACCGGCCCCAACTGCCCCTTAGCGCTTCTTTACCTCACACTGCTTCTGAGGGGAAATCGGGTCTGGCAGCCACCTCTCACACCTGCTGCTGGTGCCAGTGCTGGCCCTGATCACCCCTAGAGCTTCTACACCTCCCGCTGCTCCTGAGGGGCGATCAGGACAGTGGAGGATGGGCCTAGACCCGCCCCATACCTACCACAGCCCTGTGGCCCACAGTTTCTTTCAAGGTGCACTGGGCCCCTAGTATTATATGTTTCTACAAACATTTCCTTTTGTTGATATTGAGGGAACAAATTGTCTCTAACCTTTTTGCTTCTTTACTTAGTACCAACCACAATTACTCTTACCACCATCACCACCACCATCACCATCACCATCACCATCACCATCACCACCACCATCACCACCACAGCCAAAACACTTCTCCTGAGGCAGCTCTTTAACTGCAGGACAGAGTGCTCAAAACAGGGAGACAAAAGAGCCTGTGACACACAGGCTGTGCCTTCTAATAGCTTAAACTCCAGTTAGAAATGTGACCATGTACTTGGAAGATAAATATCATTCCACATAGTCAGGACGCATTCTTTTTTTTTTCTTTATTGATTAAGATATTACAAATGTGTCCTTATACCACAATGTCCCCTCATCCCCCCAATCCTGCCCTCACCCTCACCCCCTGTTGTCCACATCCATCACTTATGCTTATATGCATGCATACAAGTCCTTTGGTTGATCTCTCCCCCTCCCCCCACTCTCCCCTACATTCCCTCTGATTTTTGAGCATCTGATAGATGCTTCTCTGTCAC